ATTCTTACATAATAATAATTAAAGTCAGATGGTAGATTTATTGAAACATACTTAATGTGTTAGAAATACACTAAATAAAAAATTATCATTAGCAAGAAAAAAATTATTTACAATTAATAGCTATAAATAATATAACAATTATCATGTGTTTCAATATAAATAACTAAATTATTATATTTATAAATAGTAAAATTATTAATTAATTGGATTACATATTAGTCGGCGAGTAAGTTGACAAAAGCCATTACAGAGACACCAAATATTATAAATAATGTTTGTTTGACTGATTGCCATAAATCGGGTTCAGACAAGAGTTCCGGTAAAATACTGACTAACGATATATGTAAAAATCCGCCGGAAGTGAAGGGTAAAATCCAAAGGGTTTTGATGCCAACGGCATCAGCGGAATCGGCCAACAATATGATCAAAGAGCCCAATACAGTCACACCGGCTATGTATACCTGGGCTCTAACGGCCTGCCATTTATTAAAACCAGATTTGATAAGTATAGCAAAATCTCCGATTTCATGAGGAATCTCATGGACGGCAATAGCAAATGTAGTGAAGAGACCCATCTTTATGCTGACCAAAAAACTTGCGCCGACGGCCACTCCATGGGTTAGGTTATCAAAGCCATTGGCCAGCAAATTCAGATAACCCATCACCTCATTGTGTTTGCTCACATGACTGAAGAACGACTCGGTGAAAGCAAAACACAAAATGCCAATCAATGTCCATAAACCGAGATATAGTTGTACGTTACGGCTACTCATACCAGTTCTGAGCATGTGATCTGACGCTTCTGGCAATAGATGCAAAAACACATCTCCGAGAAGACCTCCGACAGCAAAACTGAGCAAATATTTGAGTAAAGTCTTGGACGAAGAATCGGCATTTATTAAACAATTGTTTTTGGACATTGAGATGAGAAACAGTGGAAACATAGCACTCACACCAATCACTACACATGATATTAATGAAAGCACCCAAACCTGTAATTTGTTGTTATTCACAACATATGAACATTGTTCAATCATTTCTTCAAAACAAAACAATGTATTGGAATTCATATAATTATTCATTATTTAATACAAATAATTAGTTAATATAAAATTTGTCAGCACTTTGCTTGAAATATTTACAACGTCCTCATTAGGGCTGAAATTTATTGATATGTCTATCGTTTCATTCAGTGTTGGGACTGAAGTTTGAATTGAAGACTCTGTAGTTATAATTGAAATAAACACTAATCTTAAAATCATAGCTTAATAGAGCTTTCATTTTTGATAAGATTTATTAAATGTAAGCAATTTATATTAAATTCAAATGTGTTTATACATATTATCATACAGTCCTGTATGTGCCAATAAACATTACTTAATCTAAACGTATCTTATTATACAGTATTTACTGTTAAATGACTTTAACAACAATTTAAGTGCACTATTGATTGAAGTTTCGGTCGATTTTTTAGATAATTAAATAAATTATCATTTTATTACATTATGCATGGATTATTTAAAAAATAATAATTGTCAGTATTGTTAATAAGTGTATTTACACTATTCTAAACACATTTTTGCATAAAACAACGAATACACTTTTTAAATTGCTAAGATACATTACTAAACATTATTACATTTCATTATTAAACTGTATATTAACATGTAAAGATACACTATTTATGTTTGTCGAATACAAGTTAAGCACAAACTAAATCTTGTTGTTTAGAAAGATTTAATTAAATGATTACATAAAATGTAATTTCTAATAATATAGTTTCCAATAAAATTATAGTTATAAACTTTTTTATCGTAAGATGGTATTTAACAGATTTTCAATATAAAACTTAATTCATAGAAATTTCTTTACACCAGAGATGATCGCAATAAGTACTTTCAAATTGATACGAAGATATCATTAACTATTATTATTAATAATATGTTATATTTGATTATTAATACAATTGTAACACAGTAAATTGATACACAACATACTGTATCATATCATAATATAGATACCATTGATGTAATTATTATATTACACAGTAATGTAATGATGTTATGGAATCACATATTTATAGCGGTATTAAATATTGAGAGACAGGGAAAGTATGAATGCAATACTCTGTACAACACAATGCTCTCAATACATATTGTCTTTATTGTAAACTCACAAACAATTCAAACATACAATTTACAGTATAATATTAATCGTTATAAAAGTATTTTCTGTTATGAACTATTGAAGTTATGAAATAATAAATATTTTGGCACAAATTTAAACACTTTTAAAGCTGTGTTTAACAGAGAGAAAAATATGATATTTATATAAACAGATGAATAGAGCAAAAAGTGAATGCACTTCAAAAAACGTCTAAGAAGTATACGATTATAGCGCCAACAGGTTTAACACAACATACTTTTCTTAACCTGTCGTCCCATTAATGTTAACTGTAATTAAAGCTTAAAATAAATTTAAATATTGTATATTTATCATATTGTTAATATAGAGTAATGCACAGTATTTATAAACTTTTATGTCAACTTTTTAAATAATTTATATTATACTGTATTATATATTCAAATAAATTTTTATTAAAGCAATATATTGATACAAGATAGATGCAGTATTTCTCATATCTAATATTATCATCGTATTTATTTTTCATATTGTAAGTATAGTCTCTATCTCAGACCGGTAACAGTGCCGATAGAGTGGTCAACTGTCCACTATGCTATTTCAAGACAATATAAATGACTATTCCAATTAAAATGGTAGAATACCATTATTTTATTAATGTTTAAATAAGAAATTTATTCTAATATTCTATAAATATATAAATATTTTCTGATTTGTAAATAGTGAACATGGTAATAATAATAAACATGTTTATAGTAAACATTATTTTAATTAATGTCATCGATTTCCCATTTAAAAAAATATATTCCAAGAAAATAGTTTTTGCGTTGGAAAATCTTTATGTTGCTTAAAATTGGAAAAATTAGAAAAAAATATAATCAAACGATGACCACTTGATAAATATAAATACTTATTTTCCCTGTTTTCAAGAAGATTTTCTATTTTCCCAAAAACAAGAAAAGCAAACTTTTTGAAAAGTCCTGTACAATGTATGAATTGTATAATACATGTACTATTTTATGAATGAATGGTAATATTAAATATAAATCATTTGAAACATGGTAATAAATTAGAATGATTCTGAAACAAACTTTATTCAATACAATCAACACAATATCTAAATAAATATTTGATTTAAATAAATATATTTCAAGTGATATTATTTCTTTCCGTAGAGGTCTTCAACCATTTCTTCAAGTTTTTTCTGTTCGTGAGATAAAAGCAATGCATCGACACATCGACCAAACACTTCATTCCGAAAACAGTCCTGTCTTTTCATACATTATGCAAATATTAGTTATTCCATTCATTTCACTATTTTTTATATAATGTATTCAAACTTTACTATCAATAGTTTTATTAAAATTTAGTTTTAACGTTAAATTTAAAATACTGTTCAAAACAAATCTTGTAAATAGAAAACCTTGAAATACATCTCTTAAATTAAGTGCCGAACAAGAATTAAATAGAGTTTGATTTTATTAGTATTTAATATTATATATATTATATAAGAATCCTTATAAAAGAATACATGAAATATATTTCAATCAATATATTGATCAATACCTGCAACTGGAATGAAGATCAGGTTCTCTATAAAGTTGATAACATTCTTCGCAAACCCGATCTAAACGCGCAAACTTTGCCTTATCGTAGACTCCAAGACATCCGAGTCCAGCAAATGTCCGCTTATGTAAATCCCGACAATCGCTCGACGAAACCATTATTATTAACACCAAAGCTATAATCGAAATCGTCACCAATTTTGTTGACAAAATCACACTTTCAATGAAATTATTTTGTTAATCCAATCAATACAGTATATTATTATAGTACTAAAGATAAGCATTAAGTTTTAAGTTAGATTCATACATTAATAATTATGATTTTAATTCAAATACATTTAATAACTTATAACAAATTATAACAAATTAAAGCACATTCTAATATTATATTAAAATAACAAATTGGAATTCTTGTTACTAGATAATATATTATGTGATAAAAGATTTTAATATAACTTTATGTAACATTTTTTTAAACAATTGCTCAATCAGTATAAAATAATTTAAATATTTTTATTTGTTGTTACAAATATAGGTATTAGTATTTCTATTGATTAAATTAAATTAATTCTTGCATGATAGTTTAATCGCAGACAAAGTTATAATTTTAGATATTTAATCATAGCTTTCAATAATTTTTATTGCCAAATAATAACACAAGAATGTAAGAATACTTTAACTAATAGAATTATAAGTTATAATTTATAACAATTAAAAATATTCAATTAAAACTATTAGATGTATAAAAGATATCTCTATAACACAAATACAGTATACATTTAAAATATAATGTAATTTACAAATTACTAAAATGTTTTAAAATTTATGTGTCATTACTTACTCTGGAATTTTTTTTGAATACATTATAAGCTGTATTATTAATGAATAAACGATATATCTATAGATTATAAGTTGAGTATTAGCTAAGAATTAGGAACTTTTTACTCGATTACTGATATTCTAGTTGTTTCCCAAATTTTTATATCAAATTCTGTAAAAAAATCATTTCATTATTTGAGTCAAATTAAATTCTATTGGCTGAGAGGCGGAGCTTAAGTTAAACCGTTAATAAACATTGAGTTTATTTTAAGAATTACTTCAATCAATGAATCTAATGAATGGTAACTATTATACAAAATTACTTTATTTGTAATAATTGTGGTAATTATTATGAATTATTGAATTTTGAAACATTTTTTTGTGTACAAATGAATTTAATTAATTCTACGTTAAGTCAGTTAACTCAATGTAAAATCCCAATAATATACAGAATATTCTATATAATAAGGCATTCAAACTTTTATAATTGTATTATAATAACAACATAATTGAAAGTCAAATTATAATAAAAACATAACATAAAGTTTAAATCACCCACTCGCTTTAAATTTATTAGAGTATATATTTAGGCGTAAACTAAACATATTGTATGTAAAACATATGAGAAAAATCTAAAAATTAAACGAGCTCTAATCCAGAATTAAAATGAAAACTAATTTCCTTTTAAAAACAAATTAATCCATAAGAAACGGATATTATTTACTGTTTTTCAAACTATAATAACTTTAATTATAATTATAGCACTAAATAATCTATTTTGAAAATGTCGTCATAAAAGCTAATTAACTCAACGGGATATTCATTGAAAATCAGTTGCAATTAATGAACGTCTTTCACCGCTAACTTATTAAAGGCTTTGCTTTCTATTTGAACCATCATTTAAGCAAATGGACGCACGTGTCAGTCGTGTCACAATATTTGGTTCTAAATTCACATTCTATATAGGTTTGCCAACTCGTTAAAGTTTGCCTTCACTATCAAGGCATTGACGGGTGTTGTCAAAGTTTAAGGCGAGGGTCTTTCCTTGACATTGTAATGTCAAGGAATGTAAAAATCAAAAGTTGTGCACTTTTTGATACTGTATGCAAACATTTTATGTAACTTTACAATTGCATTGTTTTGGTAATAAACAAAATACGAGAATGTATAAAGTAAACACATTTTAAAAATAAAGATTTTTAAAAGAATTAATTTTTGATAGGAAAGTGGATAAATATTAAATAATATATTTATGTAAGTTTTATCGAAACCCAGTAAAAACTCCCGTTAGAATCTGCAATAAAGTTATTGGTCAAGGAAATGTTAAGGCGAATTCTTGAGATTTTCAAGAAATGTCGCAGATTGAGTTGGCAAGCCTAATTCTATACCTAAACACACATCAAATGCAAGCAATTCTATAGTTATGTCTTAACAATCATACGGTATACACAATGTATGTCTTATACACACAAAATTTTACAATCTTTGGGTGTTCACATATAACGTATATGACCGTATAAAATGACATTATTTTATCGGTGATACCAAAGGCCTCGTGTTGCCAAAGCAATATCTTATGATAATGGCCATTTTATATAAATTTGCCTAAAATTAGTGGGCAAATAGTGGCAAAGTTTACTATTATTAATAAAACTATATTATTTTATATAATTAAATTACAGTATATAAATTCAGTTTTTAATGAAACTTATTGTTTAAATTTACATTGGTACAGAATTGACAAAACTTAATAATTCGGGATTAGATTTTACAAAAGTATAGAAATCACAACATTGCATATTAAAATACTTTACTGTTATATACTGTATATTTAGCCAACTTTAAGACCATTTTATGTTAAATATTTTTAACAATAAAGCAACTTACAGCATTTTAAACCACAATTCAGCTATGAGTAATGTGGTTTATAGGATCGTTTTGCCCCTCCCCCGATCACCTTATACGTTCAATATGAGAATTCCTGTCTAGAATTATACTTTAATATGGAGCTTATGCTATCCTATGGGTAAACCTATTGGCTAATGTTTAATATATAGAACAGTTTGTGTCGATTATTTTAATGCCTATTTTCGTATAGCAAAGGACACGGGACAAGGGGCCCAAAAATGGACATCTAGTAACTCTACGTGTAAGTCTTGTTTTTTTCCTACGGGGTTAATGTATTTTCTATGGAGCATTAAAATGACTATTTCAATAATACAAATGAAAATTTTATGACAATAAACTTAATGCTATTTTTATTGAGCTATTGCTTTATATAAGTTTCTTACAAAAAAATATTTGCGTTGTTTTGGCCGCCATTAGAGAGCGGCTAAAGTGATACTCTTTGAATTTCACACATATACATCACCATGGCACATTTGATGACAACAATATTTGTGGTCACGTGACTATAATCTGGAGAAATATATGATATGCGAAACCCATAGTCAAAAATGATTATGCTTATTTTACAGGGAGGGGTGTTATGGTTGCATAGAAGATAAGATCTTATTTAACATATTGCAGCAATACTGCAGCGTATACTGTACTTAGGTTTTACTGTAGTTTATTATTACATCATTTTATTGTGCAATGATTAGACAATTAGTGTTAGTTTTTACTTCTCAGGAATGTTATATCACTCCCAGTATATACTTGTCTATATAAGGGCTGTGTTTCCCAACATTCGGGGCTTTTTTTGGTAGTTATCTCTCTCACTGCACGTACTGTGCGTACAGTGAGAGAGGAATTGAGATCTCTCTTAAGCCGAGAAACATAGCTTTAGTTTAACTTTATTTTACTTTTAATAAAACATTTTATTATTACATTGTGTACGTTTTATTATAACATTGTTTTGTAATAACTACTAACTAAGCGAAAGAAGCAACCTGTGGTGGTCTACCGGACACAGCGGTCACGAGAGTGGGCGAAGACCTCCAGTCGGTACGTAGACCGACAAGCGGTACGCGAACCGACGTTACGTCGGTCGACAAACCGACGAGCGGCACACGTAAGTCATAGGCATCGCCCGCTCCACAGCACTCGACTGACGCCGCGATGGACAGCCACAGAAGAATGCCAGCAAAGGTGCATTCATGTTGCAATATTATGTCAAAGTGCTATGCAAATGTAGTACCACCAAGATTGAATCATGGATTTTCACGTAACAGGTTAAGATACTTGACCAATTTTTGCATGTTAACCTATTGGACTGAAAAATAAAATAACATTTAAATTAAATTAATTTTTGATATTTGAGTACTCCATTAAATAAAAATAAGCTTAGGACCCTTACAAGTTAGTAAAAATAATTTTTAAAACATTTGACTCTAACGAGAAAATATTACAATTTAAAATATCTAGTTTTAGCTATAAAATCGTAACAAACTAGAAATTATAATTTCCAATATTTAATCTTTAGAATCAAATTTTCCAGAATGTGTGTATAAAATTAAATTACTATCACTTTAGCCATTCCCGAATGGTAAACAAAACAACGCAAATATTTTTTTGTAATAAGCTTATATACTGTACGTATTATACGTACTGTATATAGGAATACATTTGTCTATATCGGTAGGACTTATTCCCCTTAAGTATAATAATTATATTCAAATAATTATAATCATCTCAATTATTAAAATGTCTTTAAAATCATAAATGGGTGTTTGGTAAGTTTCCGGGAGGTTTCCGGAGAACATCAGGAAAGTTGAGACAGTGATCCGGACAGGTAAGTGTATTGTCCGGGTTTTCACAGAATTTCACCCCTATTACGCCCATTATATTGTAGTATTATACGTACTGTATATAGGAATACATTTGTCTATATCGGTAGGACTTATTCCCCTTAAGTATAATAATTATATTCAAATAATTATAATCATCTCAATTATTAAAATGTCTTTAAAATCATAAAAGATTCTAACCATGTATTTAAATAAAAACCATTATTTTCAAAATACTTTGACAACTAGTTTCTTAAGAATAGAATTGTTTTTGAAAATTGTAACAATTGTAAGCAAGTGCTCCCGAAATGATGTCCATTCATCAATATAGCAATATTTCAATACGTTTTATTGATTCATCAAAACGATAAGTAAATAAATTTTATTATATATTTTATTTAAAATATGCAATAATTACAGACTGCATGTAACATTTTGTTTAAAATTACTTACAGAAATAATTTATAACATAGAGTATAATACAAGATAATACATAATTTATAAATTATAAATATCACAGATTTGTATGCATATGAGGGCACAAAATAATATCGGGATAAATAGCGGTGATTAAAAATAAATAATTTAAAGTGAATACAATGAATAATATCATCCATTATGTAATAGTTATGAAACGCAGAGAATGGAGAACTTGCCGTAAATATAATTATGAAAGCTTAAGACTTTAGATTTATTATTTAAGTTGCAATTCGTAGACATCAGATATAGTTTTATAAAAATTGTTTGATTAAATTTAATACAAGAATTGCAAATATATAAATAATATATCGAACGCAAGCTATTCCTATGGGAGGCCTGTTTTTGGTGGCTATAAGTTGAGTCCAATTCAATAATCGGTAGTCGATTGCATCGATTGAAAGCATCTGTTGTACGCATTTGTTTCCCGATATAACTAATGTCGTGATAATTGCTTTACTATTTTTCAGAATTAATAGTGAATCCAATAATCAATTAATTTTTTAAAAAATTTAAAAAAAATGTTGGTCCAATATATTTGGTTGTAAATTTTAAATTAATTATAAAAGGTATAAACTTTTTAAAATGTTGCAAACTAAATGAAATATTCGTGTACGAAAAGTTCTCATTGAAAACCAATACAATTTCTATGGAAGGTAATTCATGTTGCCTAATATTTAGCCTTAAATATATAAAAATTAATATTAATAATTGTATCATGCCACGTTTTCCATTCTCTCATCAAACAACTTCATAAAAATCAATTAAAGCCTATTCTCGTCAACAATATTTTGATCATTGAAATAAAGAGGAGTGAGTCGTGAGGGCTTGAAAGCAGAGTAGGGACTGTTGGGAACGCCTACGACCAGGAGTTGATTGTGTTTATAGTGAAACCTCCACATCGAGTTGTGATAC